GCCAGCGTCTTAAATTAGTACCACACCGAGGCTCAACACGTGGCTTCTCCCTGACAGGAAAAGAAAAACAACCAGACCAGCTGATACTGTGGTCTGAGTCTGGGCAGACCACACGTCCGTGTGTGTGTGTGTGTGTGTGTCTGTGTCAGGTCTGCAGTAGTCAATGCAGACATGGATTTTTTTTACTGCACACGTGGGTACATAGGAGTACACCCGAGTACACAAGTATTACGATACGATACATATCACAATATGTGTTACGATATGATACATTTCACGATACGTATTATGATATGATACATTTCACGATACTATGCGTATCACGATACGATACATATCACGATACGTATCATGGTACGATACATTTCACGATACTATATGTGTTACGATAGGATACACATCATGATACTTATCACGATACTATATGTATTACGATACGATACATATCACAATACTACGCGTATCACGATACGATACATATCATGATATGACACATTTTACGATACTATAAAATTATTCTCTAATTAAACTAAAAAAGCTTTTTTTTATTTTTTTTTTTTTTTTTTTTTTTTAAACAATTTGATTTTATTAAAACTGTCATCATAGTAAATGCGCAAATCAGTACTACAGTTCTTCGGTACTTTCTTCGTTCGTATGTTTCGACTCATTTATGTTGGGTTTTTTTTTTTTTTTTTTTTCCTTCTTTATTTTCTGACAGATACTACGAACTTTCCCAGCCAACGGAGAATCGGGGAAAAACAACGCCACGGACGAACTCGCGCCTCTAGGTGGCGCTAACGAACAGTTTTCTCACCTGACTTCCCGCTCCGGATTGGGGTCGACTTCTATACTTTCACCGTAAAACACCGGGTGCATGCGGACCTTGGACTCGGTCCCCGCGGAGTTCGGCGACAAGTACGGCAACTGTGACGCAAGAAGAGAAGAAGAGAGAAATCAGGTCCTCGATCCGTCCACAAAAAAAAAAAAAGTCCCAGCCTGGTTG